AAAATAATTTTGATTTTTCTCTTTCTGATTTTTATTTTTTCACATTTTATTTTGTGATTTGGTATTTTTTATAATTTTTCACTTTATTTGACTTGTTTTAATTGTTTAAAAATATTTTTCTTGATTTTTAAATTCTGAAGAAAAAAAATTATAGAAGGATCCAATGACCTCTTGACAAATATTGTTGATCTCTTTTTTTTTTTAATATTTTTCATAAATTTTGGTTTATTTTGCTTATTTCTTTAAATTTTAAAAATAGTTTCTAACTTTAAAAAATTCTGAAAATTTTTGTCAACATTTATTGACTCGTGTTTGACTTCTGATATTTTTTTTAGGATTTTTATTTGGTGTTTTAATATATGTTGTGTACTTTACCAATTATTTCCTTTTTAAATTATTTAAATTTTGTTTTATATTAAATATTTTGTTTTTATTTTTTTATTGATCCTGATTTGGAGACACTTGAGTTTTTTTTGGACAAGTTTCTCAACCTCATTGGATCTTGGGTGTTGATAGATTGAGAAATCAAATCCACCAAAATGGATGAATGATGATGATATTTGAAACCTTAGTTTCATCTAATACATCTCCTCCCTCCTCATAGATGGAGAGTAATCTACATATCATTTCTCTAACTTGTTGGTACATAGATTGTTGTTGACCAATCTCAAAATAGGTGTGACTTCTAAGCTATGCTTCCTTACCAATTGTGCTATGTTATTTATTTGAAATAAAAATTCAATTGAAAGTATATGAAGACGAACAATTATTTACTATTTTAAAAATACAAATAATTTGAAATAAATTATTGTATTTTTAAATAGACTTGAAAGTGAATATTTATTAAAACCCCAAAATGTTAATGTAACTAAACCAAAGAAATTTTTAAAATCCAAGTTCGAAAATAAATTTGACGGTACCACTAAGGCGGACAAATTTGGGGTATGACACGAGGGAGTCGACCCATTTTTAAGAGAAAGTTCCTTTTTGGAAAAGCTTTAGAGGGAGTCAACTCCTAACACGGGGGAGTCGACTCCAACTCTGATTTTTCACTAAAATACATATTTTTGAAGTGTTTGACTTGTCCAATAGCTTTTGACATGATCCTCAATTGTCTTAATATGAAACTGCAACCTAGACATAGAAAATAAATATCTATTGTACAAATACTACACATTACCTAGTTTTAACATCATTCAAAACTTCAAACATAAGGATATTGCACTCACAATTATTATCACTAATTTTATTCCAATCTTTATGTGATAGAAGGGTTTGGTGACTGGAAGAATTTTCAAATATTGGCTAATCATGCCACTTTTATCAATAGTTATGTTAATTATGTGTATATGAATTGTGCTCTTGTGAACCCAAACCAAATTATTAAGGTTGCATTTGTTAAACAAACTAAAAAAATTAATTATGAGTATTGTGTCCGTGTAAACACATCTCTTATAGCTACTAAGTTTCTTTTGAGGTTTAGCATACTATTTAGAGAGTGAGGAATTCTTTAACTCTTTATTAAGGGGATATTTCTTGAGTTCGTAGACACTCTAAAGAAAATTAACCCAGAGATAGCTAGTGTAATAGATTGTGCTCTGAGAAATCACTTTATGACTGCTCCTAAGTTTCAAAAGAATCTTGTTGTTTGTGCATGTGAAATAATTCAATAAATTGTATGTAATATTACGTATCATGTATTTTGTGTTTTGATTGATGAATCTGGTGACATTGCTGGTAAAGAACAAATGGTTGTTGTTATTCGCTATGTTAATAGTGAAGGTTTGGTAAAATAAATAATTTTCAGCATTGTAAGTGTTAAAAAATTAAGTGCTAAGTCACTTAAAAAGGCATTTGAGTAGTTGTTGTTTATTAATTGCTTAAGTGTATCTAGCATAAGGGGCAAGGATATGATGGATTTAGCAATATGTGAGGTAAGTTTGGTGTTTTAAGAACCTTAATCCAAAATGAAAATACATCTGCTTATTATGTACTACTCCCTCCGATCTCATTTATAAGAAAAAGTTAACTTTTTAGATACATTAAATAAGTAATGTATTTGGACAATATATTGTCCAAATACATTACTTATTCAATGTATATAAAAAGTTAATTTTTTCTTATAAATGAGACCGGAGGGAGTATATTATTTTGCCCATCAACTTTAATTGGCACTTATTTCATGTGCTAAGACTCATAAAGACATTAATGATTTTTTCGGTATGGTCAATATACTTGTTAATTTCATATGATGTTCTAACAAAAAACAATAATTGCTTCGGGACAAACAAGTATCTTAGTTGGCTAAATTGATGGAAAAGGGCCAGATAGAAACTGAATGTGGATTAAATCAAAAATCATTTGTTGTTAGAGTGGGTGACACTCGTTAGAATTCCTACTTTAGAACTCTCACTAGTTTGATTACTTTATATGGTGTCATTATTGAGGTTCTTGGAGAAGTCGGAAAGGATACTTTATTTTAAAATATAGTTAAATTATATTTTTGCTAGATGTGCTCCAGTCCTTTGATTTTATCTTCATGTTATACATGATGGTTGAGATTTTAGGATTTACAAATGATTTGAGTGTAGCGTTACAAAAGTGTGATCAAGATCTTTTGAATGCTTTATCATTTTTCAAAGCTACTAAAAAAGAATTACAAGAAATGAGGAATGATGGATGGAAACAACTTATATCTAAGGTTATAAAAATTTACAATAAACATGATATTGATGTATTTGATATGGATGCATCATATGTGCAAGAGAAGAAACTTAGACGACATGCTACAATTTTTAGTGTTTCTAATTTGTATCATTATAAGCATGATTATTTGGTTAGTGTTTTAGATTTGCAGTTGTATGAGCTTAATGCTAGATTTGATTAAGAGAATACTGAACTTTTATAATGTGTTTCATATTTGAATCCCTCATCATCATTTACAGCTTTTGATGTGAAAAAATTATTGAGGATAGTTGAACTTTATACAAATGATTTTGTAGATGTGCCAAAAGTGATAGTGCGACATCAGCTTCAGAATTATGTTAAAAATATTTGATATGACCCAAAATTTGTAAAGTTAAAATGATTTTTAGATCTTTGTGCAAATCTTGTGGAAACAAATAAGTGCAACACATTTGATATCGTTAATAAGCTTCTGAATTTGGGTTTAGTCTTGTCGATAGCAACTGCAAGCGTGGAATGTGTTTTTTCAGCTATGAAGTTTGTGAAGAGTCATCTATGTAACAAAATGAGTGATCAATGGTTAAATGATCGTCTTGTAACTTTATAGAAAGATGTATTCTTTGAACAATTAACAATGATATTATTTTAACTCATTTTCAAGAAATAGATAATAGATTATTTTCATTGTAAATGTACTTCATTAAATAATATTATCTTATTTTCAATATAATTTAGTCTATACTTTCTTTCGTGTTTAGCATACCAATATGTAATGAATGGATCCGCCCTTTCTTACATGGCTTCGCAAAAGACTTAGGTCATTTACACTTTAATCAAATATTATTTACTACTCTTTGTAGCAAACAAATCATGCAAATTGCAGAGTTCTAAAGCAAATCCTAACTTTCCTCAGATCCCAATCAGGCAATAACAACCGTTGAATAAAGAGCAATACTATACCAAAAAGCACATCTTTACGCCAAATAAAGAAAATAATAGTTTACTGCATAAATAGAAGTACAACACCAAACATCATCCTTACACTAAATAAGGAAAGTAAATAGATTGATGCGATAGTTATTTTTCAACAGAAGAAAGTATTCAAATACCACTGGAGCGACGTTCAACTTCTTGAATTTCAAGATGTTTATATTTCAAGGAGCTCCAAAATTGCTCAACTTTAACAAATTGGATATGAATTTCATAAACACAAAACACATATGGGTTGTGTGTTTTGATAAAATCCGTGATATGAGGCCTAGTGTTCCAGGCTCCACAAATGTTACAAAACATTATTGAAAAGTTTTAACTCCACAAATGTTCCAAAACATTATTGAAAAGTTTCAAAACCAAACCATAAATGATCATGTTTATAGCAGGGACCGTGTCATGCCCAAATTTGATATTGTAAGGGTCTTGATTGATCAAATAAGACCATGTAACATTATGCATGTCGATTCATGGAAAAATCATGCAGTTATTGAACAAAAACCTCACCCCATATGTAAGATTTGACCTCCAAGGAACCAACAGAACCACCACTCAGGCATTTGAGTCACATGGAGGGATTTGGATTCCCTGCAATCAAAAGTGACTGTAGGGTTAATCTTGGCAATTCAAAAAATTAAATAATTTTGTATTTATGTATTGTGAGTCATTCGGGTTCATCTTGGCCATTCAAAAATTTAAATAATTTTGAATTCATGTATTGTGAACCATTGGATTTTTTTAATGGTTTAGATTTACTCAAATATATGACTGTTCGAAAATTCAACTGCAGACGATTCTAGTCCCACATGGAGCTAGCAGTTACTTTCCAAAAAAACATTTTTCTGGAAAAATCATAAGATACAATTTCTGGTAGTATATTAAAATTATATTCTACAACTCTATCACCAAAAGTTCGATGCTAAGCCGTAGGACTTGGCTTGATAGCCTCTTACAAACACCATGAAAAAACTCATTAAGCTCCATTCTAGATACAACATTTCTAACCGGTAAACACAGTCAATAGTCAATACTACGTGGATATATTTAAACTGGTAAATCATTAGCCCCAAGGTTTCTCAAAGACAAGTAAAACATACTAGTACTTATACCGGTAAATCATTTGCCCCAGGGTCTCTCAAAGACAAGTAAAACGGTGGATATACATGTCACGCTGGAAGTTATAAAGGAAGAAGGATAAAATAACAGATGCTATTGAGTTCCAAAAGCTGAAATAACTATCCACAAAGATCTTCTATTCTGCTCCTCTTTCTCACTAATCATCACAACCCTTCTGGCAATGAGAAAACTACAGAAAGATTTGTGGCTTAGTCCATGAATTTATTCATTGGATCATCATGATGCACTTTCTTCATCCTGTATGCCTCCATGTCCTCTTGAGTAACCTCGTCATTCCATTTTACATTATATTTCCGCTTCCTCTCATCTTTCTCTTCTCTCTTCCTTTGGTCCTCCTTTTTCAGTGCATCAGCAAGCAATTTTTCATTCAGAACTAGGTCCTCTGGGACATCACTTCCCCATGTAGCAGGCCTTTTCTCTTCTGCTGGTGTAGTATCCTCTGTAAGGAATTGAGAATATAGTTAAAAATCAAGATGGCATAATATTAACAAGCAATTATCAAATAGAAGAAATTAAACAACAAAGATAAGAGAAGAAGATAGAAGCAAAGCACAAACCTGCAGCAGCTTCTTTACGGGCAATATTAGCTCTCATAAGATCATTTGCAGCTTCAGCAGCCTCAATACCGGCAGTACCAGTACAATAACTGTTACGTATTGTCTGCTTGCAGCACTTAAAACCCCATTGGTGATCTTTCCACCATGAACCCCAAACAGTTGTGTGGTTGTTAATGTAAACATCTTCTTCATACTTGCTTCTAGGGATTGCAGCTTCCTAATAGAAGCAACAGATAAATAACAGTTAATATCATCCTAACGACAGGCAAAACATAAAAGCAATGCTTACAGTTTAACAAAAATCAATAATGAAGCCCTGAGGAAATCAACAGATCATTTATAAAATCCAGTGATATCACAAATAAGCCCTTTATGTAAGATCAATATGCAACTTGAATTTGGGAGACAATAAAAATATAGAACGCATGTCTTACCTGTCCCTTAATAATTCTACCAGCACGATCATACTCAACTTGCCTCTCACTCTGACCCAGCAGAAGTTCTCTTGGAAGCTTGTCATCATCAGCAGCATTGCCATACTTCTCAATAATAGTTTCCTTTGTTTGAGATTTCAATTTCTCCTTCATGACCTTGAAATTCTTATAGAGCAATTCAGCTTGTGAAGGAGCTGCTTGCATGTGAACATCTTGTCCCTTGTCAAATGCTTCCCAAGCATGGATGTTTAAGTCTTTGAATTCCAAAGCTTGACCACTATTTCTATATTGGTTATCACCCTACAGAACATAAACAAATTTTAACATAAATACGAGATTCACATGCAAAAGCAACAAAAAAGAAATCAAAACATCAAGTTTCCTTAAAAAATTAATCTGGGAGACAAATTACCAAGTAAAACTTTTCATTTGGATCTGCCTCAGGAAGAGGATCTTCACGCATGGACCTGGTCTTGGGGTCATAATGTGCTGAATTTACATCGAGATTGAGAAGATATTTTGCGGTATCTTCTCGAATTCGTAGATTCCTGAAGGTTTAAGACATTTCAGTTATAATCCATGTAAGAAAATAATAGAAGTGTTAATAGTAAATATGGGACCAATCAACCTGGTCTTGCAATTTTACAATGATAGCCACATAAAAATTACCTCACAGTTCCTGTACTCCCACCACCTGTTGTTCGCACACGCTTCTCAACCTTTGCAAAGTCCATTTGTTTGCTTTCATCAACCTTTGCCTCATCTACTCTCAAATCGTCTTCGTCTTCAGCCTCATCAATAGCAGCAGCCCCCTCATCATTTTGGTCGCCCTTCTCCAATTTCTCAAGCTGTTGTTCCTTCAAGTACTTCTTTCGAGCATCATCTCTGGCTTCATACCTCTCAATGACTCGGGCGTAGGTCGATGCATCATACCCATTCCATCGATCCCGTTTTCCATCATAGTCAAGCTCAAAAGTTTCTACCTTTTCATCAGCAGCAATGTGCTTGTTTGTATGTTTTGCACCTACTTTTCGCGGTCTTTCCATGCATGCCTTGGCGGCATGTGTCATAGCTCCACAACTATAAAAAGAAGATGAACATTAAAGTAATAACCTAAACTTGGAAGAGGGGGGAATTTAAATATATGCACAGACAAGCAGGGGCTATCAAATTTTATAATAAAACCAAACAGTATAAGATCCCAAAATTAAGTTAAGTAATTAGCTCTAATACTTATTAACCTGATATGCAGTGCAAAGTAGATGCAATTAACCTCAAACATCTAACAAAATCAGCCAAGAGGTGATATTGACAAAGATCGTGCATTAATCCAAGCTTGTAAAGAAACTAGAAAATTTTAGTCAAAAGATTGTGTGGGTTCACTTGTATTGGTTGGACAGTGCTTAAAAACAAGGTGACACAATTTTCATACTCACAAGAGAGTTTGACAACGACCGAGACAAGGCACAAACACAATCCAAGACAGATGTAGCCAAATAGCAAATCTCATTTTCTTATTATGTTCATAGACAGCATCACAATAAGCATCAATCACATCACATTAGAAGCACAACACAACACACAAGCCTCTTTAAATTGTGAAAGATCACTTACTTCTCACATGCGCCTTTCCTATACTTGCTGGCCTGGAAAATTTTAGCACCTCTATCATACCATGATTTGGTGTAATTGGGATCAGATTTCCATTTCCTTTGATGTTTCAAACTCTACATGGGAAGAAGAAAACCACATGAGAATATGTCAATTTTATATGTCAAATACTAATTTGGAGAAGTCTCTATCCTCAGCAACTACCAATTCAATTTCATACTCTTTATAATTGAAAGATAAAAAGACTTGCTCTCTATTGAGATTTATACCAATTTCTAAGTAATTAATTTGGAATTTCTTGCTGTTACACATAGATAAAAAATAAGAGGGAAAACTTACAGGTCTCTCAGCATTAAGATACCAAGGTGCAGATGACATATACTGAGGAATATGAGGATTGATTTCCTTCCCATCTTCATCAAGCTCAGCAGGTGCAAGCCCGGCTTTGCGGGCTTCCTCGAGCTCAATCTGTTTTCGATGATCCTCCCTTGACTTGAATGCCACTGCAATCCATCCCATACAAATTTAATAATCATGCACAAACCATCTAACTAAGGAACAAAGCGAATTGCAAAGTACATAACCGTGTTGAAAGTTTAAAATCAACAAACCCTAACCCAATTTGGTACCCAAAAAAATTATTTACGAAATTACCATGGTTGTATCACTATCTGAATATAATTAGATAAAAACAATAGAAACTTATTAAGGTGGAAAAGATCCAATCGATCTAATCGATTCACGAGTTGTTGAGCATGATCATAATTTGCGTTAAAAACAATAATCGAGTAATAGAAAGCGAATTTGACAGCGGAAACCCTAAGAGAATCAGAAATCCTAAAACTGAAATGAATTGAATTGGGAAAAGGAGATGATATACCTGAAGCTGTTGCCATGATGCGAATAAACGAAGAACAAAGGGATTGATAGAGAGATTAAGGAAGAAGATGAATGAAAATGAAATAGATTCACACTTTAAATTCGGTAGCTTGGCGGTGATGGTTTTTCTTATCTTCGTTGATTGTTTTTTCTTTTTGGAACAAACTATCTTTCGGGGTTGATCAAGGTACTTTTATAGGAATTATATTGGGCTTTTCCATATTGGGCTTTATCCATGAGCCATATAAATTAGATTGAATATATTTTTAAAAGTTTCACTTTTTACTCACATTTCAGAAAAGCTCTCGGAACATCCCAAAATATATAAATCAGAACAATTTTGAAAGTCATTTGATTTACAAAAATACATACAAGAACACTTTTTGAAAGTGTTTCGATAAATAAATTTTCATATCGGAACACTTCTATGATAAAGAAATTTATATTGAAATACTTTTTGAAAGTGTTCCGATTGAATATCTTTCAAAAATTATAAAAAAAAGTGATACCGGAATACTTTTTAAAAGTGTACCGGTTGAGTATATTATAAAAAAAATGGATCTATTATTTATCTATTAAAAGTAAAGTACTTGGAAATTCCAAGTCTAACCTTTTGATTAGATGTTATAATTTTTCTTATTCCAAGGATATAATAGACTAATCAACATTATGCTGTTACCATATTCATTTGGCATTTAATTTTGCTGACATGTCAATCTATCATAATTTTACACTATTTTTTATTTATTTGATTTATTAATTTATTTTATTTATATTTGAATTTTATTTATATTTGAATTCCAATTCCAATGTTTCGATTAATTTATTTATATTTGAATTCCAATGTTTTTTTTTACAGAATTTGAATTCTAATGTTTGACTCACGGTTAATGAGGAAGGAATTAGAATGATTTAAAAATACTCACTATTTATCATTACACTAAGATTAAATGTATATTATTGGAATTAGAATGGATTATTTTGATATTCCAAGATATCACAACTTCTCATGCATTCTAAACCCTATATATAGTCATTCTAAACCCTTACTCTTTCACTCTTCAATCTTCTTCATTCTCCATTATTTTCAAAAGGTTACGTATTATTTTCCAATTCTTCTTCATTCCCATATTTTGATTCTCTGTGTCCATAAGCAAGGCAATAATTATCTAAGATGTATAAGATGATAAAACCAACGTTGATATGCGATCATTTTCTGGTTCTATAGAAGAATGTTTTTAACAATATTTGATTCAAATTATGTATATGTATATTATTATTGCTTTCATATTTTGTATGTCATATCAACATTAGTTTTGGCATAATATATTTTTCTACTGCAAATTATGTTGGCCTATATTTTAATGGAATTTATTTTACACCAAATTCTAAGTTGTTTTGAATGTAGCATTGCCTCTAGCAAACACACTACTCTAAATTTCGTTCAATTAACATGTTTACAATCTTTTTAAAATAGAATTTCTCTTCTTCTAAAGAGAACATAATAACCTACAAGTTGGTGTTGATGTGCCTTCAAAATTCTTATTTATTTTGAATCGAAATTATAATTCTCATTTGTCGTGAAATTTGAATAAAAATTTTATTTTGTATTGATATTTTTTTATTTTTAATTGCTATAATTTTAGAAACAAATATTACAATTATTTATCTATTAAAAGTAAAGTACCTGGAAATTCCAAGTCTAACCTTTTGATTAGATGTTATAACTTTTCTTATTCCAAGGGTATAATAGACTAATCAACACTATGCTGTTACCATATTCATTTGGCATTTAATTTTGCTGACATGTCAATCTATCATAATTTTACACTATTTTTTATTTATTTGATTTATTAATTTATTTTATTTATATTTGAATTTTATTTATATTTGAATTCCAATTCCAATGTTTCGGTTAATTTATTTATATTTGAATTCCAATATTTTTTTTTACGGAATTTGAATTCTAATGTTTGACTCACGGTTAATGAGAAGGAATTGGAATGGTCAAATTAGATCTATTATAATTAAATGGAATATTATTCATTGCATGATTTAAAAATACCAACTATTTATCATTACACTATAAGATTAAATGTATATTATTGGAATTAGAATGGATTATTTTGATATTCTAAGATATCACAACTTCCCATGCATTCTAAACTCTATATATAGCCATTCTAAACCCTTACTCTTTCACTCCTCAATCTTCTTCATTCTCCATTATTTTCAAAAGGTTACGTATTATTTTCCAATTCTTCTTCATTCCCATATTTTGATTCTCTCCCATATTTTGATTCTATGTGTCCATAAGCAAGGCAATAATTATCTAAGATGTATAAGATGATAAAACCAATGTTGATATGCGATCATTTTCTGGTTCTATAGAAGAATGTTTTTAACAATATTTGATTCAAATTATGTATATGTATATTATTATTGCTTTCATATTTTGTATGTCATATCAACATTAGTTTTGGCATAATATATTTTTCTACTGCAAATTATGTTGGCCTCCTCTAGCAAACACACTACTCTAAATTTCGTTCAATTAACATATTTACTAACCTACAAGTTGGTGTTGATGTGCCTTCAAAATTCTAATTTATTTTGAATCGAAATTATAATTCTCATTTGTCGTGAAATTTGAATAAAATTTTTATTTTGTATTGATGTTTTTTTATTTTTAATTGCTATAATTTTAGAAACAAATATTACAATTTTTAATAAAATATTTACGATTTATTTTTTTAAAGTACGACTAATTAATATATTTTTATACAATATTAAAAACAAATATTACAATTTTTTAATCAAATATTGGAGTACCATTTAATTCGATACTTTACCAATATATCTTTTGAATGGAGACATTATTATCATTTATTTTTATTATACTTATATGGAAATTATTTTGAATGGTGACATAAATATATTTAATTTCTATATATGATTTGATTCCATAAAATATTATGATCAATAAAATTTGAATTCTCTTTTAATATTATAGGTTTGATATTGTTTCATATTGTAGGAATATTATATATATTAGAATATATAAAGATATGAAAAAAATTAAATCAAAACTTTACAAATATATCTTTTGAATGGAGGTATTAATATTATTTATTTTTATTATATATAGAAACTATTTTGAATGGTCACATTAATACATTTTATTTTTATGCATGATTTGATTTCAAAATTTTATGATCAACAAATTTTGAATGGAATTATAATTTAACCAATAAAATTTTCTACCGACTTCTAAATATATTTGTGTATATTTTTTGAAAGGTTACATTTATATTCTTGAATCATGATAAAAAAATATTAAATGGTAATCATGAAAATTTAATGATAAATGATAATCATAAAAATTTATGATAAAATAAAAAATTATTGATACAATCATTTTAATAAATTAAATAATTTATAATTAATTTTATAAAGGTGAATAAATTACAAATAATTTTATAAATGTAATAAATTAAACTATTCATAAAATTATTTATATCAATAATAGTAAATTACATATATTTTAATAATAGACACACGAATTCAACATGCTTATAAACCGGAAAAAAGTTACAATAATTTTATAAACAGGAATAAGTTAATGTCATTTTATATAAATTAATGATATAATATAATGTATTAAATATTTATATAACACTTTATTAAATAAATTTATTTCATGAAATTAATTTTATATAATATCATTAATATTTAATTATTGAAAATTCGCAATAAACTGAAAAATATTTATTACAAATCGAATATAATAAAACATAAGAAATAAATACATAATTTTGAAATGTTATATATGATTCATTGTAATAATAAATGTTAAATTATTATTTAATATTATAATAAATTTTCCGATATTCTTAGATTTAATTTATTTTTTTTCGCGTATATAATAATAATATTATATTATTATTTAATATTATAATTTTTGATTGATAATAATAAATTCATTTTAATTAGTTAGACATTAAGATAATAAATTTAATATATATCACTAATACACAATATTTATTTATAAATGTAATTAACTAAGAGACACATATTTATCACTGTTGAATAAATAAATTTAAGATGATATGGTAAATATTTATTTTTACAATTATTTTTTACAATTATTCTGCCAATTACGTGAAACTATTCTTTACATACAATTATTTTTTACACGATATTTTTTACATAATTATTTTGCTTATATTTCATTTTCGGTTTCCAAAGTGAAACTATAATATTATAATGATTTCACAAAAATAATCACTTGGTATTCTGTTGACTTCAGTATTTTACTTCAAAATCTTGGAACCGTGAATGTTGTATTAACAATTATATTTATTATCATATAACCAAAAACTTTATTCATTTTATGTCTACGATCATTTTATGTGGTTAACAAAAAAAAATTGAATGACAACCATACAATCAAAGTGATTTTCTACCCATTCATTTTTGCATGACCTAACCAACACTATGGAACCACAAGTTGCAGCAATGGCAAGACGTAAAAGGAAGCAGATTCTTAAAGATAAAAGATTGAAAAAAGGAAGAACTGATGAAAACACAATCAATCCCATTGAAAACTCTCAAAGGTATTATGTTCCAACCATGGTTAATATCAGAACACCACTATCTGATTTAACTTCATCAATCTTTAATGAAAGAAATATGAGTTCACCTTCACCAGCATTTGCATCAAGCAACTCAAGTACAATGAAGAGTTTCAATATTGTTTCTACAAATCAACTGGCTGCTTCAGCACGACAGGGGAGGAAAAGTATTATGGAAGGTAAGATGCCCCAATCTTACAAACTTCATAACAACCTTAGCAATAACAGTGGGGGTCCTTTCGGGATAAATTCTCCATCCTTTTCGCATTTCAAAACACCATTTTCTGATATAGCTTCCTCATGTTCTAACCAAAGAAACATAAAACCTCATGCACCGCCAAGTTGTTATATTCAAAAATATAAAAAAACAGTTGACTGTTACA